GTCAGAGGTCATCTTGTGTGTAAATTTTATGTATGTTCTTTAACACTGGAAAAAGTATGATTAATTATTTTATGGATGCTATTTTGTTTTCACAACTTTACAGGACTCTTTTGTGTATTTAAACACTATAGAATTTTCACAATTGGTGATGACAATGGTAATATTTTCAACATTTTAAAACAGGCGTGCAAATGGTCGCTGCAGAAAAATGGGTAAAACGTCCAAGGGAGCAACAGTCTGGGGCAAATGTCCAGATTGATACTGCCTCAAAAGGGGTACAAGAAGTTTTCGCTCACCTGAGAAATAGGTCAAAAGGTAAAACTGGAGCCCCGTTTTACCCTAGAAACACCATTTGAAAACAAGGGACAGTTAATCTGAACAATTTTGTGTACTGTCACCATGAAAATTTTTGTGTAAGTTTATTTCAAAATTGAACCAGTGGTTTAGATCTGGTTTAGATGTTGTTGTTTTCTAATTTTAGCTGTGGCGGCCATTTTATTAAACAGTTCAGCCAATCACTAAATGAGAGGTGAGCTAATAAAAAGATGACAGATAAAGAGAAAGAAAATAAACAATGACCTGGCTGGGGATTGAACTGTCGACTTCAAATCCCTTTGGCCGGGTAAATTTTGAACCTAGGGGTGTTATTTCAACAAACATGGTAGACATACACTAGAACATTTTTTGGATTTTCATAAGAAGTTTTTACTATATACATGTATATATAGGGAAAATCAATGACCCCCTGGGGGCAAATTTTGACCCTAGGGCATTTATTTGAACAAATTTGGTAGACATACACTTCTGTTCATGCCAAATGTCTAAGCTCTAGCTCTTTTGGATTTTCACAAGAAGTTTTTTTAAGTTTTCACTACGTATATATACGTATAGGGAAAATCAATGACCCCTGGGGCGGGGCCAATTTTCACCCAAGTGCTTTTATTTTAACAAACTTGTTAGATAATTACTACAAGATGTTTCATGCCAAATATCTTAGCTCTGGCTTTTTCAGTTTTTTACAAGATTTTTTTTTAAAGTTTTCACAATATACATATAAGGAAAATCAATGACCCCTTGGTGGGGCCAATTTTTACCCTAAGGCTTTTATTTGAACAGACTTGGTAGAAATCCACTAGAAGATGTTTCATGTTAAATATCTAAGCTCTAGCTCTTTTGGTATTTTACAAGAAAAATCTTTAAGTTTTCACTATATACATATAAGGAAAATCAATGACCCCCAGGGTGGGTGGGGCCAATTGTGACCCTAGGGCTTTTATTTGAACAAACTTGGTAGACATCCACTGGATGATATTTCCTACCAAATATCTAAGCTCTCACTCATTCAATTTTCTACAAGAAGAATTTTAAAGTTTTTATTATATGTACTTAATGAAAATCTAAGACCCCCAGGGGCAGGGGCAGTTTGGACCCAAAGGCTATAATTTGAATAATTTTTGTAGAGTTTCAGTACATGATGTTACAAACAAAATATCTAAGCTCTAGGCCTTGCAATTTCAGTAGAGAATTTTTTTTAAAGATTTTATTTCAAAAATCTATTTTTCCCTCTCCTGACCCAGATGTTCAAATGAGCAGAACCATTTGAACTATTTTAGTAGAGCTTTAAGATAGGAATATCCCAGAAAATTTTCTATCACATTTGGCCCAGTGGTTTCTGAGAAGTTTGTTTACAAAAAGTTGACGATGGATGCACAGATGCACTGACAGACGCCAGACAAATTGTGATCACAAAAGCTCACATATAGCACTTTGTGCTCAGGTGAGCTAAAAAGGAGAATGATGACCTACTAGTTATAACCTATCAATATGTGAAATTTAAAGACCTTGACCTTTGAACTAGAGACCCCATTATGAATAATAAATATGTGAAATATCAAGACTTTGTGATAAAAAGTTTTCAAGGTAATAAGATGTAACCATATTTACATTTAAGGCCCCTGTGACCTTGACCTTTGAACTAGTGATCCCAAAAACAAAAGGAGTCATCTACTACATATGGCTATTCAATATAAGAAATAAAAAGACTTTGTAATAAATAGTTTTTATGAGCAAAAATCTATTCTGACAATTAAGGCCCCTGTGACCTTCACCTTTGCCATAGTGATCCAAATATCAATAGGGGATATCTACTTGTTATGGCCAATCATTCTATGAAATATGTCTTTGTGATCAATAGTTTTCAAGATAATGAGTGGAAACTATTCAAACATTTCAGGCCCCTGTGACCTTGACCTTAAACCTAGTTACCCCAAAATCGGTAGGGGTAATCTAATAGCTATGGCCCATCAATATGTGAAATATGAAGACTTTGTGACAGTTTTCAAGATAAAAAGCAGAAAACATTCTGACATTTAATTCCCCATGACCTTGACCTTTGACCAGAAAACCAATAGGGGTCATTTACTAGGTATGACCAATAAATCTGCCAAATATGAAGACTTTGTCAACAAAATATGTTTGTAAAACATGTATGTCCCGATTAGTCATAAGATCAGGTTATTATGACTGACTTTTGCCCTAATGAACAAAAAATTAATAAGGGTTATCTACTGGTCATGACTAGTCACTAGGTAATAATTATGATGACCACATAGGTTGTGTGCAGCAATTTTATGACATCTTACCAAATAATATATGCATAAATTCTATGAATAATGTAGGCCTCATTAATGACAGCCAAGATGTTATATTATACTAGAAATGTGTCCATAGGACACATGTGCCCCCACCGCGCCACTGTTCTGTCAATCTTTTTACTAAGTCAAGGGAAATAACTCTACAAATACTGGATAAATCCACAAGCGAAACCCCAGGTGCAAATCTTAATATGCTTAGCAACCTGCCCATAAGGTTTAATGACTCTATGTCAAATCCTTTTTGAGTAACTTGCAACACAAGTTGAAAATTGCAAAAAATTTCTAAGTGAAGGGCAATAATTCTAAAAACACTAAATAAATCCAGACAAAAATACCTGGTGCACAAATGCACATGCTGATCAATATTCCTGTAAAGTTACATGACTTTAGGTCAAATACTTTTTGAGTCAGGTGCGACACATGTTGAAAATTGCAAAATTTTACTAAGTCAAGGGCAATAACTCTGAAAATACTAAAAATATCCAGACAAAAATACCCAGGTGCACAACTACACATGCTGATCAACATTCCTGTAAAGTTTCATGACTCTAGGTCAAATACTTTTTGAGTTACGTGCGACACAAGTTGAAAATTGCAAAATTTTACTAAGTCAAGGGCAATAACTCTAAAATACTAAAAATATCCAGACGAAAATACCCAGGTGCACAACTACACATGCTGATCAACATTCCTGTAAAGTTTCATGACTCTAGGTCAAATACTTTTTGAGTTACATGCGACACAAGTTGAAAATTGCAAAATTTTACTAAGTCAAGGGCAATAACTCTAAAAATACTAAAAATATCCAGACGAAAATACCCAGGTGCACAACTACACATGCTGATCAACATTCCTGTAAAGTTTCATGACTCTAGGTCAAATACTTTTTGAGTTACGTGCGACACAAAAGTGAACAGACGGACGGACGGAAGGATGGACGGACAAGGGTAAATCTAAATGCCCGCCACTAAAGTGGGGGCACAATAAGACCTTAGAATGTGTATAATAAAAGCATTTTTAGCTAAATATAAAAATATCAACCAAGGCAACAAGAGTTGTTGAGTTATTGGTCAGAAACCGTCTTTAAGTACAAGGTCAATATGACACTGACCCCCTGACCCCAAAATCAATAGGGGTCATCTACTGGTCAAGACCAATGCACATACAAAGTTTGAGGGCCAGCAGCTATGGGCTTGTAAAGTTATTAATTGGAAATTGTTTTCACCTACAATGTGAATATGACCTTGACCTTTGACCCCTTGACCCAAAAATCAATAGGATTCATCTGCTGGTCATGAACAATCATCATACCAAGTTTGAAGTTCCTAAGCGTTCTTTAGTTATTGATCAGAAACAGTTTTTACCTACAAGGTCAATGTGAGCTTGACCTTTGACCCCTTGACCCCAAAATCAATAGGGTTCATCAGCTGGTCATGAACAATCATCATATCAAGTTTGAAGTTCCTAGACCTATGTGTTCTTTAGTTATTAATCGAAACTGTTCTTACCTATTAGGTCAATGTGACCTTTGACACCTTGACCCCAAAATCAATAGGGGTCATCTACTGGTAATGACCAATCATCATACCAAGTTGACCTAAGTGTTCTTTAGTTATTGATGGGGAAACTGTTTTTACTTACAAGGTCAATGTGACCTTGACCTTTGACACCAAAATCAATAGGGGTCATCTACTTATCATGACCAATAATCATATCAAGATAATCAGCCGAAACCATGTGGTCTACCGACAGACAGACCGACCTAACGCCATAGCAAAACAACATACCCATTCTTCACTGGGGGGGGGGGGGGGGGGGGATAAAAAAATCTTTTGGGTTTCCATGGCAACAAGAGTTCTTCAAGGAATTTAATTATTTTAACAACTTTTGGTAGACCTTCATGCAAGGAACATACATGCCAAGTTTCATAAAATTTGGCCAAGCGGTATTGGAAGAGAGGTCAATGAAATGTTAATACACAGATGACAGACAACAGGGTGTCACCAAAGGTCACCTTTGTCACTTTGTGACAGGTGAGCTAAAATCAAACTTGCCGGTTTACATTAACTTAGTATGAACAGATGGATAGACATGCACTGAAAGGAATAAGAGGCCCATCTTATGTTTAATAATGTTCTTGTTGTTATTGGAATTAACTCTCTATTTATTCTCATTAATTTTTGCTCTGTATATAGTTAGATTGCCCCTGTAGTGCAAATAAATAGACGGTTCAATTACTATATGCTTAGGTGCATAAAATTCATGATGTAAGTGAATATTTTAAGTCAATTTATCTTTTTGTTATAAAAGTCATTTTATCTTTTTGTAAAATCTTACATACCTCTTTTATTTTTGCTCTGCTTTGAAATCCTAAAATAAAAAGTATGCCTTGTAAGTACATGTATATTTTTAAGAAAACAATATTGAAACTTTTCTAGTTACATTAAAACATTAACTTTCATGATCTACCTTACAATGACAAGTTGCAGGGGACAGATACATTATTTCTTAGCATTCAAGGTATAGGTTTTTTTTTTATACATATGGTCTTTCTTAGAATGGTGAGATGATATTTACACAAAAAGCATAAGAAAGCAAGGTATTCAAATTTTTTGACACTGGTCTATATAAACAGTAAAAATTTAGAATTGACCAACCAATACACTTTATCCTCTATTTTATGACTTGTTCAAGCTTTCAAAAAAGACTGCCATTATATTTAAATGTTTTTTTTATCACATTTGGCCACAAAGAAATGGAATAAAAGGTATGTATGAAAGACATCCTTCAATCTCAATGTGCAGGTATTTCTGGAAACTTTAGTAAAATAGAGGATCAGTGATTCATAATTCATAATGCACAACTTTTTTTGTTATTAGTGTCACAATTTTGTTAATCCCTTTTACAATGATTTTTTTTATTTCTGAAACAATCAGCAATCAGTCTTTTCATTTGGATAAAATTTAATTTAGTTACAACATACTGGAAACATACAGGGTATTACAATAATTTGATATGAAAAAATGCTTGATTTTAAATGTCTATAAAAACAAAGAAAAATTTGTAAAAGTACAAATGTAATACCTGAAATACTTGAGGTTCATACAGGACAAACTTAACATCTTGAAGACTTGTTTGACAGGTGCATGACATGTTAAACTCTTCAACAGCATCAAACATAGCTGCTTGGACTTCTTTAGGCGGGTAATTTAAATTGCCCACTCCAAGTGCAGGAAATGCTATTGAGCTACAATTACACTTTTCAGCTTCTTTCAAGCAATCAAGCACAAAACTTTGCAGGTTCTGAAATGTAAAGGTCCTTTTTTAAATATAATAATTTATCTATGACAAAACTTTGTGACAAATAAACAAGAGGGTGATGATGGCCCTAATAATATACCTGAATATTAGTACTCTCCATAACAAGGAACAAGTTATATTGTAAACAATCAACAAAAGCAGATGTAAAATCTAAATCTTAAACTGATACCACAAAGTTCATATTTGTATCCTAAATATTGCACAGTAAAAACATTACTGGTTGCTTTTGCCAAGGGAAAACAACAGTTCCATAAGGCCATTATGTTTTGATATTTCGGTTTACTGAACCGACGACACCGTATTTTGGGAAAATGAAAAAAAAAAAATCTGCCCCTAAAAAAATTTTGTGTTGTCTTGAATACTCCGCTAATAAAGTTAAGATGTTAGTTAATATTCTATCGGGATATATATATCTCACCTACTGTATACGACTTTTCAAAGAAATGTCAAGAAAATTTTTCACGGTATTAATTATCAAGGGCTTTTATTTGAACAGACTTGGTAGACACCCATAAGAAGATGTTTCATGCTAAACATCTAAGTTCTAGCTCATTGGGTTTTTTGAAAAGAAGATTTTTTAAGTTTTTTGTACTATACACATATAGTTGAAAAACAATGACACCCCCCTGGGGCAGGGCCAGTTTTGACCCCCGGTGGTTTTATTTTAACAAACTTTGTAGATATTTACTTAAAGATGTTTTCATGTATAATATCTAAACTCAAGCTATTTTAAGTTTTTTCAAAGAAGATTTTTAAGTTTTTGCTATACACATATAAGGAAAATCAATGAACCCCGTGCGGGCCAGTAGTTTGACCCCAGGGCTTTTGATTTGTGAACAAACTGTGGTAGACACCATTAGAAACATGTTTATGGCTGAATAGTCTTAAGCTCTAGCTCTTGTGAGTTTCTTAAAAAGGAAGATTTTTTAAGGTTTGTTGGTAGGGCTATGATGGCATATGGGAAAGGATCAATGACCCCTAGGCGGGGCCGAAGTTTTGACCCGGAGGCGTTTGTCATTTGAGAGCAAGGCGTTGGGTGAGGCAGCGTGGCATTAGAAGGTGAGTGTTGTCATAACTAAATATCTTAGCTGTAGGTCGTGTTGGTGGGTTGTAAGAGAAGATTTTTAATGTTTGTACTATTATCTGCAATAGGGTAATATCTATGACTTCCCTGGTTGACTATTCTATTCTGACTCTTCCAGGCTTTTATTGAATCATATATTCTTGGTAGAATCACTAGAAAGTTTTCATGTCAAATGACATGCTCTGCTTAACGGTTCTTTAATAATTAGTATTTTTTTAAGTTTTTACTATTTGCATATTATTTGTTGTAATAATCTAATGACCTCCCTGGGGCGGGGCCAATTTTGACCCTCTGTTTAGTAATTTCATATTATCTTTGGATATTCTCTATTTCTATTATTATTTATTTTAGTTTCTATTAATATTTTTTATAGCTTTTCTTCTCTATGTATATATTGTATATGTTTTTAAGTTTCTTATTAATATGCATATAGGGGAAAATCAATGACCTCCCCGGGTGGGGCCAATTTTTGACCCGCAGCGGCTTTAATTTGAACAAAACTTGGCCTAGAGCACTCACATGGAGATCGTTTTTTCATGCTTAATATCTTAGCTCTAAGCTCTTTGGGTCTTTTATATATTAGTATTATATATATGTTTATACTTATTATGCATATAGGGAAAATTTTCTAATAACACTCCTGAGGCGGGTGTCTCCAATTTTGACCCTCCAGGGCTTTAATTTGAACAAACTTGGTAGACATTCACTAGAAGATGTTTCATGTTCTTTAATATTTTAAGCTCTAGCTTTTAAGGTTCTGTAAAAGAAGATTATTTTAAGTTATCTTACTATAATGTTTCATATAGGGAAAATCAATGACCCCTGTCTCTGGGTACAGGGCATATTTTGATTTCTCCTTCTTCATTTCTAATATTGAACAAACTTGTTGTAGACACTCACTAGAAGATGTTTTCATGCAAATATCTTAGCTCTAGCTCTTTGGGTTCTTTAGAAAGAAGATTTTTTTTAAGTTTTTTACTATATGCATTTAGGGAAAATCAATGACCCCCTGGGGCGGAGCCAATTTTGAACCCAGGGCTTTTTATTTGAACAAACTTGGTAGACATTCACTAGAAGATGTTTCATGCCAAATATCTAAGCTCTAGCTCTTATTGTTCTTTAAAAGAAGATTTTTAAAAGTTTTATTATATGCATATAGGGAAATCAATGACCCCCCGGGGTGGGGCCAATTTTTGGCCACAGGGGCCTTTAATTTGAACAAAACTTGGTAGACACTCACTAGAAGAATGTTTCATGCTTAATATCTTAGCTCTAGCTCTTTGGGTTCTTTAAAAGAAGATTTTTAAGTTTTACTATATGCAATATAGGGAAAATCAAATGACCCCCCTGGGGCCGGGCCAATTTTGACCCCAGGGCTTTTATTTGAACAACCTTGGTAGACCATTCACTATAAAGATGTTTTCATGCTCAATATCTAAGCTCTAGCTCTAACAGTTCTTTAAAAGAAGATTTTTTAAGTTTTTACTATATGCATATAGGGAAAATCAATGACCCCCCGGGGCGGGGCCAATTTTAACCCCAGGGTTTTAATTTGAACAAACTTGGTAGACACTCACTAGAAGATGTTTCATGCCAAATATCTTAGCTCTAGCTCTTTGGGTTCTTTAAAAAAGAAGATTTTTTAAGTTTTTTACTATCTGCATATAGGGATAATCTATGACCCCCTGGGACAGGGCCAATTTTGACCCCAGGGCTTTAATTTGAACAAACTTGGTAGACATTCACTAGAAGATGTTTCATGCTTAATATCTAAGCTCTAGCTCTTAAGGTTCTGTAAAAGAAGATTTTTTAAGTTTTTACTATATGCATATAGGGAAAATCAATGACCCCCCGGGGACAGGGCCAATTTTGACCCCAGGGCTTTAATTTGAAGAAACTTGGTAGACACTCACTAGAAGATGTTTCATGCCAAATATCTTAGCTCTAGCTCTTTGGGTTCTTTAAAAGAAGATTTTTTAAGTTTTTACTATATGCATTTAGGGAAAATCAATGACCCCCTGGGGCGGAGCCAATTTTGAACCAAGGGCTTTTATTTGAACAAACTTGGTAGACATTCACTAGAAGATGTTTCATGCCAAATATCTAAGCTCTAGCTCTTATTGTTCTTTAAAAAGAAAGATTTTAAAGTTTTTATTATATGCATATAGGGAAAATCAAATGGACCCCCGGCGGGGTGGGGCCAATTTTGGGCCACAGGGCTTTAATTTGAACAAACTTGGTAGACACTCACTAGAAGATGTTTCATGCTTAATATCTTAGGCTCTAGCTTTTGGGTTCTTTAAAAGAAGGATTTTTTAAGTTTTTACTATATGCATATAGGGAAAATCAATGACCCCCTGGGGCCTGGGCCAATTTTGACCCCAGGGCTTTTATTTGAACAAACTTGGTAGACATTCACTTAAAAGATGTTTCATGCTCAAATATCTAAGCTCTAGCTCTTTACAGTTCTTTAAAAGAAGATTTTTTAAGTTTTTTACTATATGCATATAGGGAAAATCAATGGACCCCCCGGGGCGGGGCAATTTAAACCCCAGGGTTTTTAATTTGAACAAACTTGGTAGACACTCACTAGAAGATGTTTCATGCCAAATATCTTAGCTCTAGCTCTTTTGGGTTCTTTTAAAGAGGATTTTTTAAGTTTTTTACTATATGCATATAGGGAAAAAATCAATGACCCCCTGGGGCGGGGCCAATTTTGACCCCAGGGCTTTTATTTCAACAAACTTGGTAGACATTCACTAGAAGATTGTTTCATGCTTAATATCTAAGCTCTAGCTCTGTTCTTTAAAAAAAGATTTTTTTAAGTTTTTACTATATGCATATAGGGAAAATCAATGACCCCCGGGGCGGGGCCAATTTTGACCCAGGGCTTTTATTTGAACAAACTTGGTAGACACTCACTAGAAGATGTTTCATGCCAAAATATCTTAGCTCTAGCTCTTTGCGTTCTTTAAAAGAAGATTTTTTAAGTTTTTACAATATGCATATAGGGAAAATCAATGACCCCCTGGGGCGGGCCAATTTTGACCCCAGGGCTTTTATTTGAACAAACTTGGTAGACACATTCACTAGAAGATGTTTATGCCAGAATATTTAAGCTCTAGCTCTTATGGTTCTTTAAAAGAAGATTTTTTAAGTTTTTATTATATGCATTAGGGAAAATCAATGACCCCCCGGGTTGGGGCCAATTTTGACCAGAGGGCTTTATTTGAAAAACTTTGAAACAAATTTGGTAGACACTCACTAGAAGATGTTTCATGCTTTATATATCTTAGCTCTAGCTCTTTGGTTCTTTAAAAGAAGATTTTTTAATTTTTTACTATATGCATATAGGGAAAAATCAATGACCCCCTGGGCGGGCAATTTTGACCCCAGGGCTTTTATTTGAACAAAAACTTGGTAGACACATTCACTAGAAGATGTTTCATGCTTAAATATCTAAGTTCTAGCTCTTTGGTTCTTTAAAAGAAAATTTTTAAGTTTTTACTATATGCATATAGGGAAAATCAATGACCCCCCGGGGCGGGGCCAATTTTTGACCCCAGGGCTTTAATTTGAACAAACTTGGTAGACACCTCAACTAGAAGATGTTTCATGCTAAATATCTTAGCTCTAGCTCTTTGGGTTCTTTAAAAAGAAGATTTTTTAAGTTTTTACTATATGCATATAGGGAAAATCAATGACCCCCCCGGGGCGGGCCAATTTTGACCCCAGGGGGCTTTTTTATTTGAACAAAACTTGGTAGACACTCACTAGAAGATGTTTTTCATGCCAAATATCTAAGCTCTAGCTCTTACAGTTCTTTAAAAGAAGATATTTTAAAGATTTTTTCTTTCGGTTGCCATGGCAACCAGAGTTCTGCATGGAATTAAATTCT